AATTTTTATATGACCAGCTGTATATAAACTAAGGATTCCTATGACTCCTTCCTCATGTCCGGCCTTTTGATGTAAAAGCTCACAAATGAGGGAAACAAGCTGACTGTGTATTACAATGGATATCTCAGAGGGTACTGGGGAGCAACCACAGGAAAGGGACATGGAGGGAAAGTGTTAGGCAGGAATGCAGAGCTTCCATACCCGCTGTCCCTGCACACCTCCTTCCCGGGGGGTTTGAGGGCCTTTCTTGTACAGGCCCAATGGATCACATCATTGGGTCACCCTTCAGCTGCTTTTCTCTTCCCGTAGGTCAGGGGTGGGACCGAAAGTTCCAGCTGTCTAATCGCGCGGCTGGTTTCCCTGACAAGCAGCTCCCATGCTAAAGCTATGCAAGAGCCCAGCCAGGCTTCTCATCAGTACACAAAAAGACAAATTTATTTGGAGATTCCAAGGCTTTTAAAATATTTGTACTAGCCACTGGTTACATTTCAATATATATTTCTTTTTTTTCCAGCTTTAATTGAGTTTATTGGTACATTTTAGGGATACAGTACAGTTACACTCATTGTTAGGATCTTGTACCTCTGCATGACAGGTCTTGGTTCTCATTTTTTCCCCTTGTCCCTGCCCTCCCTTTACCCCCTCCTCCCCTCCCCATCTACAACCACTTTATATCCATCTTTTCATTATCTCACATTTTTTTCTTTTCCCTTTTTACCCTTCCCCTGCCCATCACACCTTCCCTACACCTTTAGCTCCTTTCTTCCTATTTCTCAATGTCAGTATAAATATATATTTCTTAATATAAAACACAACATCACAGTGACCATAACAATGACCCTGCAGCGAGGTGTTGGTACATGCTTGTAATCCCAGCTAATCAGGAGGCTGAGGGAGTAGGATCACTAGTTCAAGGCCAGCCTGGGAAACTTAGCAAGACCCTGCCTTAAACCAAATACGTAAAATGGGATGGGAATGTACCTCAGGGATAGAACCCTTGCGCCCAGGGTTCAGTCCCCAGTGCGGAAAAAAAAAAAAATTATGCAACCTGAAACTGCACAAAACATTCTTAATTGATGGGGGTGGATTATAATTATTCCACAAAAGGTCTTTAAAATCTTTTATAGTACCATTAAATGCTCTTGCTATAGGCTATAAATATATATAGGGAAACGCACAAGTAATGAAACTAATATTTATCGAGTACCCCGTAATTTTAAGCAATAGGGACATTGTGCATTAGAGTTTGTTTTCTCAAAACGGATCGAGATTAGCATGACTGGTCTTGCCTTCTTTTCACTGTGTTATAATAGAGTGAATATCTCTTCTATGCCTCCCTGAATTGTCCTTCTCTTAAGTTTCAATCAGTTTCCCAGATTTCATCCTTCATGATCCTGGTGTTGTGAAATGTCTCGGACAGTCGCTTTAATAGGGAATCCGTCACCAGTGTCACTTCTGGGGGAACAGCTTCATCCTGTGTGTCACAGCCAACTTGTTCATTTGTGTGCCTACGTTTGCCCTCACCAACCCCTCTGCAGCTTCTCTGCACGTCTCTAATAGTGACGGGGTCGACACTCCCATGTCTGGGCATCTCTGCCATTATGACCTATTCAGATCCTGCAAAGGTATCTGGCACACTTTGCTGCTTCCACTAGGCTGCATGCACATGACTTGCCAAGGCTCAAATATTTTCATGTTTATATTTCACCCAGAACTCAGGCAGTGAAACTGTGATCATCAACTGCAGCATAAAAAGTCTCTTCACAAGGATGCATAAGATAGAAGATTTTTAAAGTCAAAATAACTCCGTGGCCCATTGGCTGGATTGATGAAGTTGTACTTGCTGATAAAGAAGAAGTCATCACATTTTCATTTAAGTCCCCCAAGAGAATCAGAGGGGCCAAGAGCACTTTTCAGTGGCAGTAGATAGGCGTGAACACTTGAATCTTGGCCTGTAGTCTTTCTACGGCTGGGAACAAGGGGTCACCGCACCTCCATGATGTGCTGTCCCTGTGGGGCAGGCTGATCGGGGCAGATCACAGAGCCTGGTCCCTGATCACGAAGCTCAGTCTGCCGCTCTCACTGTGGTCTGCGGACAGAGGACACGGCCAAGCTTGGTGTGGCCCCTCACTGTTAAAATCCTGGGTTACACCACCTTGTGGTTGCGGGACAAGTGTTACTTTAATGAAACAACACGGCTGATGTTTTTACCCAGTGGAACGGCATGAAGTGGTGGCCTTGCTGTGATTCAAGAACAACTTCAAGTGGAAAGACAAAAACGATGAGAAACTGTGATTTTTTTAATTATTTAAATATCTTCTTTGACTTTGACTTCTTCATACACCTCTGAATTTCTGTTTTGTTAAATGTCCCTCGTGATGTTGCTACCATGTACTGAGTCCATGAACCAGAACTATTGGTAGAAACCTCTTTTGTTCAAGTCTACAAAATGTATCAAGTGTAAGACGTAGTGCTAGGCTCCTTTTTAAGGGCACAATGGCACCATACCAGTGAGCCTACCACGTACGTACATTGATTTCTGTCCCCCCAAACACAACACATGCAGAGTCACAGCTGTGATCACCTATCACCCCAGAACATGACCACCGCTGCATGTGGGAGTCTGAAAGTATTTAAAGACAATACAGTGGGGTTCACTGATAATAAGGGAAACATTTACTCAACATGTGTTTTTTTGGTGATCGGTAATGGGATGAGTTTTTTGTTGTTGTTGTTTTTTTGTTTTTTTGAGACAGGGTCTCACTGTGTAGTTGAGACTGACCTGGAACTCACTATGTAGCCCAGGCTGGTCTCGAACTCGCAGCGATCCTCCTGCCTCAGCCTCCCGAGTGCTGGGATGACAGGCATGCGCCACCACACCCGGCCTTTTTTTTTAATCTTAAAAAAAAATGCATTGCCGTAAAAGACATGTGTATTCAGCCCCCCAAATCCCTCTTCCACTCACTGGAACATACTTGGATTGAGTTCTGAAGCATTTCATGACATCATTGCATACTCATTACAGAGCTACAGAAACTGAGCTTGAAGACAAGTTATGTGATTTGTCTACATAAAAAAAGAAAGAAAAAGCCGGGCGTGGTGGCGCACGCCTGTCATCCCAGCACTCGGGAGGCTGAGGCAGGAGGATGGTTGTGAGTTCGAGACCAGCCTGGGCTACATAGTGAGTTCCAGTCAGCCTCAACTACATGGTGAGACCCTGTCTCAAAAAAAAAAAAAAGAAAGAAAGAAAGAAAGAAAGAAAGAAAGAAAGAAAGAAAGAAAGAAAGAAAGAAAGAAAGAAAGAAAGAAAGAAAAGTCTCTCAGGCAGCCCTTGCCTCGGAGCTGTTGCTGAAGGTGAACGCTGTGTTCACAGCTAGTTCTAAGCGGCCGAGCCTGTGTGGGACTGTGAACCTGGCAGGCATCTTCAGATCCACCTGGACTAAATGCACAGTTGCTTCTCCGCCCATGGGCACCTGCACTTCATCTGCCTCCCCACACCTGTCTTGTGCACTCATGCCGCCCTTCCCAGCATGCAGACCTTTGACCCTTTCTGAGCAAAAGCATTGTGACCCGTGACGCCTGCCCTGTTGCCACCGTCCTTACCCCCAGGGCTGCTCAGTGAACTTCTTCCCTCAAGTGTCCCTTTGCCTGGCAGGTGCGCTGACCCTTGGTTTATTGGTTGTTACTCATGATCACACATCTGCTCGGTGACAGGACTGGTAGACAAATCCATTTTTGCTGCTGCAACTCTTACACTTGATTTTTGTTAATTCGTTAATTCGATGATGGGAGCAAATTGCATCCAAGCTGGTTCCGCTGCACAGAGAAGAGGAGGCTCTCACTACAGCCTTTGTCCAGCTGAATTTACATCATTTTTCTCTTTACAGGGGCAGGAGCCACACTCTGGGAATTCCTTCCTATTATAATAATAAAAATAATATGAATGGCAATAACAGTATAATAGTAACAACAACACCATAGCAATTTAAGTGCAGCCAGCGCTCACCCTGTGTCAGGATATTTTCCGGCTGTCTCAAGCTGGGCACTGAGGTGTCTAGTTTCCTTGTGAAAAATTCAGAAAACTACCATTCCTTTCTGTAAATCCGGGGTAAAGTAGCTAAGAAGGGACAGGTGGGGATTGTGACAAACCAGAAAAAACAAAGGACCTGTGTCCATTCAAGGGCAGCAGCAGTGAGTCTCCATTTCCGTGCCTTGTAAAAGAATACAGGCTCAGTCTTGCTAGATTTGAAAAAGGCACCAAGAATCTAGGACATTGGGTAAAATTTGCTACTTTTTATGATGCATTGTGACCCAAACAAAAGTGGAGATGTGCCCTGTCCATAGCTTCTGCTGCAAGCCTGTGTTCTGAGGTGGGATCCAGGCCACGTTTCGAGCATTTCAGCCCGGGCTGTGCCACTTCGTGTGAACCTAACTTTGTCATCCACAAAGTGCATAGTTAGGTAGCAGATATTTTATAGAGTTGATAGAGGAACAGATTAGTATTTTTGTTTTAGAATCTCTAAAATGCTTAGCAAGATGTCCAGCATTTCAGGAGGACTTGGGTTTCGTGTTTGCCCCTGTTCATCTTCCCCCGCCCGTGAACTGACCCTCCCCACCCTGCTCCCTACCCAGTGCGCTGTTTCAAGGGCTCATTCCAAAGGTGGCCGTTCTGAATCTGACCATAAACAATGCCTAAAACTCAAATGCCCATAAACTCAAAACACTGTCATTGTCAGTGGTTCATTTAAATGATGATTGAATTAAGTAAGACAGGTAAAGAATTCACCGTCTTTATTTTACTACATTAAAGCATTTTTATGTTGACGTGGAACCATGGGGCTAAACTGATTTTAAAATAAAAGAAAAGGTAACTTGTGTAAGACCACGCAGGCTGAGATGAGGGAGTTTGTCTGGTGAAATTGAACATGTGAGTTATTCAAAATTTTTGTTTGCGCCATCTCACCTTTCAGAATACCTAACAAATGTGTTTAATTTTTCAGTTTATCGTTACTAGAAGAATTTGACTGTAGCTGTAACGAACTCGAGTCTCTGCCTGCGACGATTGGCTACCTTCACAGTCTGCGAACGCTAGCAGTTGATGAGAACTTCCTCCCAGAACTGCCCCGAGAAGTGAGGAATAAACTTGTGTTCCATCAGCTAACTTTTAAGGAAACTGTTCTGCAGTGAGACCCTGACATAGAGCTGTATGAACTCTGTATGCAGAGTTGAGGGGTGTCGGGGCGTGTGCGTTAATTATTCTGTTTTAAAGACAAGTGACCAGTTCTAAGGTTTCACCCTGAAAATGCATTTGACTTCATGTTGCGTGCAAATAATAAAATATTTAAATATCAAATAAAATATTAAATCGATGCTAAGGAATAAAAGTTTAGATCACTTGCTTTCCATGTTTTGCTTTTAAGAACAATTGTAAATAACATTTTGAGATTATTACATTTATATTTCGGAAGTCAAAAGGATTTTTTGCTGTAAATATGTTTGTGAGGTTTCGTGTTGCATTGCAGTATTATTTGAACTTCCAGACCCACCAAGAAATTCTGTTAATTTTTATCTCGGAACTGGATTTCACTTACTAGTGTCAGGAAAAAAGTGTGAAATATATTTTCAACTTAATATTTTCTACTAAACACTTCCATAATGGTGGAACAGTAATCAATATATCATTATTTTGGAGTCAAATGTTATGAAGAAAAATGACAAATACCATTGTGATGTGAAGAAAAATTAGCTTTACCAAGGAACTGTCAATATTTCATTTTATGAATGTGTACACTCTGCTGTTATAAACAGATTAGTACATATTCACTTGGGTGGGAAAACACTGTGATTTATGAAAACAATTGTGTCGGCAGGTATTCAACCGTAAAATTGTAAAGAAAATGTTTCCTTCTTAATGTAAAAGAAAATGAGGTATCTATTGCCTTGCTATCTATAAGTATACATGTATTTTTAAAGCAAGATTAAAAAATTAACATAACTTTTAAAAGGAAGTTGAAAGTAATAGAGAAGTCTGAGTTAATTAAAATGATTTATAATTTTTTAAACTATGTAAATGGCATATTACTGTGATTCTTGGCTTATTTTGTCCTTTTCACTACCCATAGATTGGAAGCTGCAAAAGTGTAACAGTGATGTCACTTCGCTCCAACAAGCTGGAATTCCTTCCTGAAGAAATTGGACAGATGCAGAAACTGAGAGTTTTAAATTTAAGTGATAACAGGTATTTTTGCAACATTTTATAATTACGTATTGGACATCTACTATCATCAAGTTATTGCTCTTGTCTCTAATTTTGGAAACATTTTCTATATCCTATGAGGTATATGAAATGCAAATCAGCTTGCTTTCTACAGACAATGCAAAAATCTAAATTATCTTTAAAGTAAATCTGTCTTACTATTTTGTTATATTAAAATCACATTACATTATACGTTAAATTTATATAAAATCTGTACACCCAAACTTGGATATAAAAACCCTCCCATATGTAGGAACCACAGTGCTAGGCAAACATGGGGACATAATTATAGTAAAAATCTGTGAAAACTGTTTTCTGATTAGTAAAATATACTAATAAAAATAGATTTTTACAATAGATATATGTATTGTTCACATGTATGTGTTTTCACATATATGTATTCACTTATATCTCCAACAAATCTACTGAGTAATATGTATACTTTAACCCCAACAGAGTGCTGGTAAAGAATATCTCTAGTAAAGTTATTCCTCAGAGGTCATAAAATTTGAACATTAAAGTAAGTACAACCAAATAACTACTTAGGTCCAAAATCTCATGGCTGAAAACAGGATAAAACTTGTGATAAAACTGTCGCATTGGTAGATAGGTAAGAAGAAAACACTGAAAATCTGTGATTCTTCTTTGTTTCCACCTTCTCTATAAATGACATGTATCCTCAAATAGAAGAAGTAAAAGTAGATATTGACTACAAGTAATTAAGTTGATAGTGTGATCGCAGAGTGGAATCCATGAACGCAGACTTTCCAGTAAGTTTTCATCAGACAAATGATGGGTGAGGAACTAAGAGATCTTGTGATGCAGCTGTCCAAGATGGGCTTCTATTATATCATGAAGAATATTCATGGAAATTGCAGGATAGGCAGGGAAATTCTCGTTTGTAGCTTATTGAAGGAAAGAATTGTGGATTTCAAAAACTATTCTCTTAGTAGTTCTCTTAGTAGTGAATATTTCTATGCAGAAAAAAAGAAAGCTTTGTATTTATAAATTCAGGATGGCAAAGAGGCACCAAAGCTCTGTGTGTCAAGCATAAGCTACGTCAAACCAATATCCTTTCCTCCTGTGGTGGAGTTACCAGACTCAAAAATGAGGGAAATGGACTTATTGAATATTACATTGACTTTCAGCAAGATATTCTTTCAAATCTCTCCTTCCTTACGAATTAGACTAGGAAACATGGTCATGAGGGTGTCATAAGCCGATGTACTCCTATGGGAGTCAAGTGCAGCCCCCAGGAACCATTGTTGCTGACTTGAAGGGGGCTGCAGAATTTCTTTCCTAAATTCTTGGACTCTCAAATTCTCTCGTTGATAAAATGCATGACTGGATGGAAAATGTGCTGACCAGTATCACACATGGTCCATAATAGAAGGACTGTTAATACTTTGGAATTACTTATTCAACAAATATGGCAGACTTCAGTACCTGCCATGGGCCTGACCACTGCCAGATCTCCGGGCTAAATACACAAGTAAGATGTTAACGATCTTACAAAATAGCTATTTCATCCTGCCGAAAATACGTGCCTATTTTACCCTCTGCTAGAGTGGCTAGAACACAGAACAAAGCCAACTTAATATTTTTAATTGACAAATCAATTAATCAGAGGGGAAAATCAACAATTTTAAAGGAGGCCAAAGTTAACCATTACCATTAGACAATGGGCTGCTAGGAGATAGGCTGAAATTAAAAACATCATCGAATTGCAATTTCTTATTTAAAATATCTTAGATATTTTAGGCTTGATGTTATATACTAATATGTAATATATTAACTGTGCCAATAGTTATTCCCTGTGCAATATAGCGCACAATTATGGTACAAAATATAAGACATTTCACTTGATGGAGGCCACTAAAAAAGCCAGGAAAATAAAACCTTTATCCTTCTCTAATAGTCTCTTTTCTTCCTATTCTATTTTTATGACTGGTGATTTACAGTGGATGCTGTTGTACATGATCCTGGAGAGTCCCCCACCCCACCCCATGTAATTGAGATGCAACAAAACTGACTTTCGACTTTACATTGATTCTCATATAATGTGAAAAATGTCACCCATAATAAGACTTACTTCATAATTTCTCATGTAATTGAATTTAAATAACTACAAATTAGAAACAGCACTTATGGATAACTTGGTTTAAAGTTTAGTTGCAATTCTACCCCCACAAAAGAATTGAAATATAATTTAATGTCTTCTAGTCTTTGTAATCTTATTTATGTTTTACAAATATTTATTAGTTCAGAAAGGATATTATGTTAAAGTTGTCTCTCAGGGCTGGGGATTTAGCTCAGTGGTGCCACCACCTGCCTTGCAAGTGCAAGGTCCTGAGTTCAATCTCAGGCACCACCAAAAAAAAAAAAAAAAAAAAAAAAAAAATTGTCTATCAGACACATACTCAATATTTGAATTGGCTGTCAGTCTGTTCTTATATTTGTTAAATTATTTGAAAGTGCATAGCTGCTTTTGCATGTAAAATTAACTCATTAATTGCTGTAACATGTTTTTGCTTCCATTGGCAAGATCTCAGCTAGAATTCAAATGTGTAAAGACTTCAGAAGCTTTTCATTCCAGTTTATACCTAAAGGGTTTCTCCGTGTTCAAAAGTGAACATGCAGAAGTGAGCGACAGATTTCACTCGCGCGTGTTTGTGTACTCACTGTGCGGATTGGCTGTGGTGCCCAGCTGTGGGATCACGACCTGTTGATCGTGTACAGTTGCAGCTCTGAGGATGTCAGATAGTGTGCTAAAGCAGGCATTCGGCAGCTGATCCCCCAAATTCTAAAACCAAAGCTAAATACATAATTTTATTTGATTAGCAAGGCTTAGACCGAACTTCACATCTCAGAAATGCTGTTTTTAAAGATCCCTCCATGGTCTGTCCATTGTATGTCGTACAAACAGTGAGAGGGCAAATGGAGTGACTTCCTGGAGGTCGGTGTGACTCTGGGGATCGTAATTTATTCAGCATTCAGATACACCTGACCTCTAACCTGCATGGAGCCTAGTTCTGTGAGAATGCCGGATGGTCAGCAGATGATCACAAAAATAAACGATAAATGCTGCAGTCTGCTCCATGGAGGAGAATGCAGGGTAGTTGGAGGCTAGATTGAGAAAAGTGGCTTAAATGGGAAGTTAGGAAAAACTCTTTGAAAACATGACATTTGAACGAGAGCTACAGGACGTGTAGGATTGGTACAGGTGGGAGATGGCGGGAGAGTGTCGCAGACAGGAGAGGGCTTGGGTGAACCTCACGGCAGGCTGGACAGGGCCAGTGTGTTGACCAGCTGAGGCAGAAGCAGCGGTGGGAAGGGATTTTGGAGGCCTGACATTGGGTGTTAACATTTTTTTTAATCCAGATTGAATGGGAATCATTTGAACAGTTATAAAGATTTCATTTTTAAAAGATTGTCCAGGCTGCTCATTGAAGAAAAGATTAAAGAGAAGAATTATATCAATACAGTAGAATATTTTAAATGAACTGTATACATCTTCACCTATGCTATTAGAATATTCTTATATTTGCAGATTGAAGAATTTACCATTCTCATTTACCAAACTTAAAGAGCTTGCAGCATTGTGGCTTTCTGACAATCAGGTAAAAACATAAATGAAGAACTTTTATTGCCTGACTGATTTTGTTTATGTGTATGAACCATAATTGAAACTTTGAATTACTGATGTTTTCCCAACAGATCCCATTGACAACTGCTACAAAATACAGATTTTTATCCCCTGACGGCAATGTTTTTGTAAAGTTACCAGTTTAAGCATTGTTGTAGACAAAAGAGTACTATAATCTACCCGCTTGAAGTACTGACATTTAATGTCTGCTTCATCATCAGAGATCATTTTACAGATTTTTAGCTCCTGGTGGTACACATATGTCCTGAGAGGATATACTTTAATTATATCTCTGAAGGTAAAGAATAAAAACCATTACCACAATCCCACGAGGGGAAATTATTTTCCTCTATGTTCTTTTTCATTCTCATGCTTTTAATTATAATCAACTTAAAACTTTATTCCCGAAATTTTCTGCTATCTTTTGGCAACTATTATCAGTTGTTTCTGTGAAATTATTTTGATATTGTTCTTTATAATCATGGAAATAGATTATAATTGAATCAGTAACTGACTACTAAAGAAAAATTTTATTAACCAGATGATAATAATAAGAAATAATTAGAGACATCTGATTTGCCACCAAAAGGACTGTCAGTGGTTAATTTTGACATAGTTCATTAGTCTTCTCTTTTTTGTGTGTTTCTAAAATTTTTAAATATAAGTGACCAAATAAGAATAATCCATCTTGAATTTAGTTTATTTTTTTAGTATAACAGTAGTATTGCTGCTAAATGAATTGTTCATATTTATTGTTATTGGTCTACTTTTGTGAAAATTAAAAACAGTTTCCACAAAATACAAATGTGAGAGTAATGTTTGATTTTCCACTGATTACAACACTCCCATCAACTGACTGAAAACTTGGATTGTCATTAAAATCTTATCAGAGGGGCTGGGGATTTAGCTCAATGGCACCACACCTGCATCGCGAGTGCAAGGTCCTGGGTGTGTTCCCCAGTACTGGAAAAAAAAAAAGAAAGATATAAAAACATCAATAAACTATAAATTTTTCATAATATCAATATGTCATTATAAATAAATTATTTCTGGAATCCACGTGAATTACAGTTAGTGGAATAATCTCTTCCACAGTCCTATTGTTAAAAAAAAATTCTCTACTATCATAATTTATTATTCTTATGAGAAAATGAATAGCACAATGACTGCACTGTTTAGCTTTTATTTCTAAGACTGATTTAATGTGTTTCATCCTCAGTTTCCTGAGACAGCTCGTATTCCAAATCTCATTTTGGCTTCACTCCAATTAATGTGTCATGAAATAAGCAGATTTTTAATACCTTAGATAATATGATCATTTCAGATTATTTCTAGTGTATAAGATAGAAATTCTAAAGGCATTTCAAAAGTAAGATTTCTTAAATCAAATTAATAGTAGGGAATGAAATAGAACCATAAGTATATTATGATGCATCAGATACTTGTACAATTGCTTGTCAATATGTGAACTGTCTTTATTTACAAAAATGTCTGTTTTATAAATGTTTATGTTTTATTCTAACTAAACTCATAAATGATCTTGCATAGTATGAATTTGATAGCAAATTCCATTTGTCTTTCTAGGGCAACAGTCCATGAAAATGAATAGGCATATAGAACCATATGAAAAGCTAACTTAAATTGAAACAATTTAACACATTTTTCTCATCAGGATTAAAACTGGCATTGCTCAGTTGAATAGGTTTTGGTAAGTTTTCTAAATGGGTACAATACAGAAGCAAACCTCATTATGAAAATCTTAGAAATTAAAAATATTCCTCAACAGTGGTCTTTTATGTTAGACTTTCTTACTCCATTTTTTTTTTTTACTAACTTTGTTTTTTAAGTCCATTCATCTTGGTAAGGCCAGGCTGTTTGTTGACCATTCTCTTGTCTCACATCAATATTCTCCATGTTTGGAATTGTACTCATCTAATTTATGTGTTCTCTGCTTCCAGTCCAAAGCCCTTATCCCTTTACAAACAGAAGCGCATCCAGAAACGAAGCAGAGAGTACTGACTAACTACATGTTTCCCCAGCAACCTCGTGGTGATGAAGGTAAACTGTCAGCAGAAATTTCTTCTGTACTTGTAATGACTAAGGATAAAGAGCCCTGATTTGTTCTGATCGCTGTCCCGCACTGTGACTCAAGTACAAGCCCCAAAAGATAATTACATGACACCCTTGTATCATCTGAGAGTTTAAACATAAAGTCTCTACACTACCATATTTTAAGCAGGATTCCAGAAACAAACTCTTCCTCTTTATATCTTACGCAAAAACAGTGTTGACATTCGGAACAACTTCTTTTCTTGTTGGATTACACAGCATGGGACTAGTTAACCGAACTAACCAGTGCTCTCGGACCCCAAAGTGTTTCATACTTGGAGTTAACCATAAAGAGATGAGTTACAAATAATGACCATGATTTCACCTTCAAGTTGAATTTCCCTGAACAATGTCAACAAGTATGATAGAAATCATTTTTGCAAAACCTAAACCTTTCTCAATAATTTCTTCTCTCCTATGATCATGTTCTTCATAACACTTTTTTTTTTTTTTTTTTTTTTTTTTTGTTC